AAATGCTCTGTTCCACTTTGTGATGTGAAGTAGTGGTAGGCTTCAAGCTACCGGCAAACTTTACCTTTAGTTTAGTAGAAATTAGGAATCCCAGGTCTGAAATTATCCAAATGGTTGTAGTGAAGGTGTATGGAGTTTAAAACACAGTGGAGCACTTCCTGTATTAGCACATAACATTACAAGGTGGCACAGATTTTCAGTCTGAGAGAAGAACTCAGCCTAAATATACAGGGTTTTATGTGCGAATGAAGCAAAACACAACTCCAGGTCTGTTGTAATGAATCTTATAACATAGATTAGAAAATAGTGTAACATGGGCCTTTTAAGTTTGCATCACGACTTGAAGATGTTTGTTTGTGCACAGGCATATGGACAGACACACCTTCCTTGGGGCCAGCACCTCATCTGTTGAACAGCTATTTCAGGAAAGAACAACATTAGGACACACATGGCCCCGAGCGTTCCTCAAGCTTCCCTCAACACCACTGTGTCTCTCTTTACCACTGCATAACATACATCTCATTCCCTCTGATCTCTTTTCCAAAGCTCTGTCTCAAACTCAGCCCTGCCCTTTCTCTCCTCCTCTCTTCCTCACTCCAAAGTCTTCCTCAGCAGCCAGGGTCATGGTTAGTTAAGGCTGGGCAGCGGTCGAGCCACAGTTGGAGTGAGGGGCGTTAAATACATTTGCTTTAACCAGAGCGTGTGCAAAGATGGATCACAGTAATCACACCGAAGAGACGGAGATGTGGTAAGAAAAATAGAGCAAGGAGCAACCAGTCAAGAAGTAAACAGGAATGGAGATGATGCGATGAATACAAATGTGTGCATTATACTAAGTAATGATAGATATAATTGCATTAATTTGGTTCACTTCAACGTTACCTAACCACCTACTTTTTACACTCATTATGAAGACCATATTGAACAGTGAAAGGCCCCATATTACACTATTTTCCACGGAGCCCTGCAGATGACGGAATGGAAAATAATAATGAATATAAAATAAAATAAAAAAAGATCTACCTGCTAGGTTAGCGAGAACGTCTATCCATGTTATCCAAGATAATATCCCGTTCCTTAAGATAATATCCCGTTCCTTCAAGATAATATATATATATGTATAAAAAAAATGTGTTTCTCACCTTCCACGGTGGTAGGTCTCTCTCACCCTCATTCAGCTCGGGTCCTCTACCAGAGGCCTGGGAGCTTGAGAGTTCTGCGCAGTATCCTTGCTGTTCCCAGTACTGCACTTTTCTGGACTGAGATGTCCATTGTTTTTCCCGGTATCTGTTGTAGCCACTCTTCCAGTTTGGGGGTTACAGCCCCGAGTGCTCCGATCACCACAGGCACCACTGATGCCTTTACTTTCCAGGCTCTCTCCAGCTCTTCCTTGAGCCCCTGGTATTTCTCTAGCTTCTCGTGTTCCTTTTTCCTGATATTACCATCGCTTGGTATTGCGATGTCCACCACCACAGCTCTGCTCTGTTTCTTATTCAACCACCACTATGTCTGGTTGGTTCGCCATCACCATTCTTGTCAGTCTGTATCTGGAAGTCCCACAGGATCTTGGCTCGGTCATTCTCCACAACCTTTGGAGGTGTTTCCCACCTTGATCCTGGGGTCTCCAGCCCGTACTCTGCACAGATGTTTCTGTACACTATGCCCGCCACTTGGTTATGTCGCTCCATGTATGCTTTCCCTGCCAGCATCTTACACCCCGCAGTTATGTGCTGGACTGTCTCAGGAGCCTCTTTGCACAGTCTACACCGTGGGTCTTGTCTGGTGTGGTAGATCTGGGCCTCTATTGCTCGAGTGCCCAGGGCCTGCTCCTGAGCAGCCAGGATCAGTGCCTCTGTGCTGTCCTTCAGACCAGCCCTCTCAAGCCATTGGTAGGATTTCTTGATTATGTTCCAGTGGTACGCCCCATGTAGGGGTTTGTCCTGCCATGATGGTCCCTCCAGCACCTCTTCCTCTGGACCCCACTGTCTGAGACATTCTCTGAGCACCTCATCTGCCAGGGGCCTTGTCCTTGATGTACTCAAGGAGCATGTGGTTCCCACACTCACTAGTCCTCGGCCCCCTTCCTTCCGGCCTGCGTACAGTCTCAGGGTGCTGGATTTGGGATGGAACCCTCCATGCATGGTCAGGAGCTTTCGTGTCTTAACATCTGTGGTCTGTATCTCCTCCTTTGGCCAGCTTACAATCCCTGCAGGGTATCTGATCACTGGCAGGGCGTAGCTGTTGATTGCCTGCACCTTGTTCTTGCCATTGAGCTGGCTTCTAAGGACTTGCCTCACTCTTTGCAGGTATTTGGCCGTAGCCGCTTTCCTTGTTGCCTCTTCAAGGTTGCCATTTGCTTGTGGGATACCAAGGTACTTGTAACTGTCCTCAACATCTGCTATTGTTCCCTCTGTGTGGACTACCTTCCCTCTCTTTGTCACCATCCTGCTACATTTCTCAAGCCCGAATGTCTGTATTGTAGATCCTTGTGGTGTGGATCAGTGAGTCGATGTCTCGCTCACTCTTAGCGTACAGCTTGATGTCATCCATGTAGAGGAGGTGACTGATGGTGGCCAGTGCGGTCGATTATTTGGCTGAGGGGGTTCAGGCCTATGCAGAACAGTAGTGGGGACAGTGAGTCTCCTTGGTATATGCCACATTTGATGGACACATGTGCAAGTGGCTTCCCCTTGGCTTCAAGGGTGGTTTTCCACAACCGCATCGAGTTCGCAATGAACGCCCTTAGAGTCCTTCAAGCACTCAGTGATCCATGTGTGTGGCATTGGCTTTCTTGTAATCAATCCAGGTTGGTCTTACGGGTTCTGCAGTCGCGGTCAACCTGGTGTTTTTGCCAATGTATTGATGTGCACTTATCTTAGCCGCAATGATGCCTGACATGAGTTTCCATGTTGTGGATCATGACTGGAGGGAGGTTGCTGTGGTCTTCTCTCAGATCCACCAGCACTGTGCATCAGTGTTATGTGATGCCTCCCTTTCCAGGTATGGGCAACTGGCTGTACCTCTTGGACACTTGCTTTTTCATTGCACCTTTCTGGGCCTCTGACAGTTGGCTCACTTCTCTCCGCACCTCCTTGATTTTAGCCTCTAACCGTCTTTGCCATGGTGGGTATTGTATCGCATGGCTCCCATGGTTGCTCTTACAGCCCAACACATCTAGGATCACTGCTGCTGAAGTGTATATCAGCTCATTGGTTTCAGTGATTGTTGTGGTAGGGATCACTGTCAGTGCTGCATTCACATCATCTAGGAGACTTTCAGATGGTACTTCACTTAGCCTCTGTAACTGGCATCAGGGTTGCCTTGTGTTCATTCGGGCCATGATCTTATCTTTCTTGCCCCGCCCCCTGCCTCGTCTGAGGGGGGATTTGAACCTGGGTCTCCCATGTGAAAGTCCAGTGACTTCCCAATTGAGCTAACCAGCTGCTATCTATATCTATATCTATATCCATATCCAATTTTCCTTTCCATCATTGGCTCTGTAATTTTCTGATCTACATTATAATGTTGTTTCCTCATCAAAAACACAGTTTTGTTTCATTCATGTTTAACATATGAGATTGAAAACATTCTGTTCCACCTTATGGTGTCATGTGGTAATGCAGGAAGTGTGGTTTTAAACTCCACACACCTTCACTAGAATCATCTGAATAATTTAAGATTTGGAATTACCAATCTATACTAAACAAAAGGTAAAAGGAGTTGATAACTTGAAAATGGCCGCTACATGACATTACACAGTGGAACAGAACATTTTGAACATTGGAGATGCAGAGAAACTATTAATAAAGAATTACTCCAGTGTGTGAATGAAACAAAACACAACTCAAGATATGTTTTTAATGCGCCAACAGCATTATAATATAGCTTAAGGCTCACAAGAGTCATTTTGGGGTAATATAAGACCTTTAAGTTAAAATGTACTTCACATGTGGAGTTTGCTGAAGTGCCATGAACTTTGGTGCAACAAGAAATACACCAAACACCAAAACTGTGTCCATTTAATTTCAATGTGTTCCTATAGCAGGACCCAGTTTTTCGTTTAAACAATGTAACAAGGAGCAGTACACATTTCATTCACACATTTTTCACACATTTTTGTAAGGTCTGTTTGTCATAGTGGAGTCTATTCCTGCTTCTATGGGCCTGGGGCATGAAATCTGAGCCAACCACAGTGCTTTGAAAACAGATTTAAAAAAAAAAAAAAAAAATCCACCAGAAAGCTTAGGTCAGAATGATTAATTAAGGTAGTCACTATATTATATAGTTCTAATAAGGATGTGATGTCACCGCTGTGCATCTCATTTGTGCTCACACATTTACAGCATTGACTCACAGGGGAGGTGAGAAAGAGGCACAAGCTTCTGTGGTCCACCCAGAATGATTTATGGGCACTTTGTGAGCATAAACAGCTAACTTTCTGTGGGCAGACACCATACTTCTTTAAGGCTGACAAGAAAACAACACCGGGTCATTTTAGGTAAAAGTAAACGAAAATTACATCATTTTAGAAGGGTGTGACAAAATATCAGTTGTTTTTTTTTATACTGTAATAGCTTAAAATGTCGTTGGTGTATACTGCCAAACTGATACACATTTTGACAGCACTATCACTGTTGGTCGTTTATATAATACTGAAGTATTCAAACCACAAACAAACAACAAAATATAGTGATAATAAATCTTACCTTTAAAATATTAAAGTAGGTACAATAAATAAATGAATAAGAAGAGCAGTAGTGTACTGAAGTAAGAGAGATGTATAAGTAAAAATAAGATCCAGTAAGAAATATCTCCTTACTTACAATACAATACATTATATATGTATGGCTTTAGTGACTGCAGGATGTGTGTTGTTTTTCATGATAAGACCTGAGCTCCACGAAGGAAGGGAGGTGTCCGGCTGCACCCCTCAGGCTGGTGGAGAGGAGCAGGTCCGTTTCTCATTGATTGAAGAGAAATCAAACTTTGTTCACCTGTACCTTCTGCGCCCGCCGCTTGTCTGCTCTCTGGTTTTGGTGGTAGATGCGGCTAAAGTTGGACACGATGACAGGGACAGGCAGAGCAATTACCAGCACACCACTCAAGGAGCAGATCGAGCCAAAAATCTTCCCCGCGATTGTCTTGGGAACCATGTCTCCATACCTGTAATGGAAAAAAGTCACACATTTAGCAAAATAAAGAACCTTAATAACTGTGTGTCACATAGATGTAAAGATGCATTTTTCAGTTCGAGGGTCTGCCACCTGCTTGTCTCAGTGGAGATGTTACTATTTGGTTAGAATATTCCACAGTATGCCTTTAAACTTATCTCATAGGGACCAGCATTTGACAATACTAAGGTATTTTTTTAGCAATAATTAATGCAAGGTAGATATGTTTAAAGGCATACTGTGGAACATTCCAGGCAAAACAATAACATGAAGACGAGAAGGTGACAGACCATAAAAAACTTTCATAGTCCACATTTGGACAGCAGGTGTTTAATGGATATAGTTTTCCAGGAAATTGCTTGCTTGAAATTCACACTATTCTTTCACATTCATTAGAATAAGAGTCTGAATATATACTTCATTATAAAAGCTGACAAAACAGCATTCACCATTAACCTTCAGTGAAAACACCCAGATACAGTGGAAGTTGAAATCGTTTGCCCAAAGTCATTTACCTCAGTTCAGATGAAATATTTGCAAGTCCAAATGCAATCTCGTCTAAGACTCAGAACAAAGAAAGCACAATTATGTTTTGTCCTCAAAAGACTTCACACTGTGAATCAACAGCAAGTTTAAAAAAAGAACAATAATATAATAAATAATAAAAATGAATGTAAGAATTGCCTTGGCAAAGTAACTTTTATTAACAAGGGCCCTTTCATCTCATTTGTAGATTAAAAAAACAAAACAAAACAAAAAAAAAACAGGGTAATTTGTTGTTTGCTTAACAAGAGGCTTTTAAATGAATTATAACTCATGTACTGCAACCATGCACAAATCTGCCTCACACATAATATTATGTATAAGCTTATGTATACTATTTAATACATAATAATGCATTAATATTATAGTGGTATTTCCACCCACTTCATAAAGACAAACAGCTCATGATCTTTGAATATACTAGTAGACTATGTTTGTGCGGGTTACATGTACAACATGTACCAAACACTCCAGATCAATGACTGCATGCACCAATCACATTCATGGACATATTCTTGTATTTTCTGGAGAAACCACTGTAGGATTGGATTCATAACACACTGACAGCTCACTGCATTTTACAGGAGGCACTGTGACACAAGAGAAGAGTTCACTTTACCAAAGCTCAACAGCACCTCACACTTGAAAATGAAACAAACACTCTGCTTCTGTCTGGGACCTTTCTCACAAAAACAAGAGTCCAGAGCTGGAGATCAGAGCCCATACACACACGTTCATACACACATGCACACACGCACACACACCCAAATCCACACATGTTCATACACACGCATACACACAGAGACATACACGCGCAGACACACACACATGCACAGATACACATACAGGAGCAGGCGCACACGTACATACACACACACACACACACACACACAACACTCATATAAACAGGAGACATGTTTGGGCCACTGACAGCCTCCTCAGACCCTATAGAGGCGCCAGGGCAGAGCGAATAATACTGTATAATGTTGTAGCCATAAGACATGCATGTATAAGCAGTGGCTGGCTGTCATGCACATGCTGCTCACATTAAGACTGCTTCAGGCAAAACATCGTGTTTCTGTTTTATACACAAACAGACACATTCATCATTAACATTAGACACTTCATCTATTCCCAGACTCACTTGCACAAAAAGGCTTTAAGGTACAGGCTTGTTACTGCATTTAGAAAAAAGGATGTTGTAAGGGAAATGGTAATAGAATGCAATAGAGCTGAACATAAAATTCTCAAGTACAAGCTAGCAGTGGCTCTTTTATGATGCATACATAGAATAATAAATGTAGTGTAATTGTGCCAGTAATCTTAAAGGGGCATTGTGTAACTTTTCAGGAGGAGAGTCCATTACCTGCTTGTCTCCATAGCCTCGCCTGGACTGTTCCACAATATGACATTAAATGGATCTTTCTTGCATTTATTAATGTACAGGTGTTTTTATAGCTGATAAAAAACCTGGAAAAACATGCATTCCTACTGTGAGTGGGGTCATCTCTAGATAGATCTTACCTGTGACTTGGCCTACTTGTCTACATGGAGATGGATAAGGTTAATGCCATATTGTGGAACATTCCAGGAAAAGCCCCATGAGATGGAGACAAGCAGGTGACAGACTTGCCTAGATCCTATATGATGGAAAATGGACTGTTTAAGTCATGTTAGAATGTTGTTACTTTGTCAAAAAACATACTTGGAGTTGTGTTATGTTCATTCACACATGTTTGAGTAATTCTGCATTATTAGTGTGTCAACATCTCCAAAGCTCAAAATGGATGGAGTTTAAAAACACAGTTTTACCACAGGACATCACAAGATGGAACACAGTGTTTTCTGCTTGAGAGAAACACTCAGCCTAAATATGCAGGATTTATGTGTTAAAACATGTGTGAATGAAACAAAACATAACTCCAGGTATGTTTTTGAGGAGTAAACAACATTATAACACAAATCAGAAAATAGTGTCCTTTTAAGCATAGTTCCTCAAACATGTCTTTTCAAATAAAATAATCCTATTAGTTATAGAGCAAACTGAACCGAAGTTTTGTTGTCACACATATTTTATAATATAGTAAACAATCCCGTGGAGGGCTCCCATGATGGAACAATAACCAGCATAAGGACTTGAGCTTGAGCTAGTCCTTTTATTACCTAATGAAACCCCACTAACAGTTTGTTGGTGATGGCATGACACAAAATGGCGGCACAACATGAGCCATCATAAAACCCTCTTTAGTTTATTAGGTTAAAACTGTCATAAAACCTCACAAACTCATTCTTCTAGTTCGGGCACAAAAATGTCAAAGTACTTAGAGAGAAGTGCTTTGTACATGAACCCTAATGCCTGCACACGGAGCGGTCCACAGCCTAACCAAGAGTATACTTACAGCCAGCATCCATCCTCCCTTTCTCTATGAACTATAATGGCCCTTTTACCCAAATTAGGCAATAACTATCCCATCAGTGGTACAAAAGCCATATCGCTACAAACATTTCATCTCCTCCCTATGCAGACAGTGTTCCCATTAGTAGAAATGAACAGCTAATCATATTCATCTGCAAGTCTTCTGTAATGGGCTCTTCTCAGATGGCTTGATAGAGGTCTTTCTCCCTTCTAATACCGCACTCAATTTGCAGCTCCCATTTAGTCAAGCTGGCCTGTCTGTACTGATACCATCTCAGGGCCATTATACATGTCACACAGATAAAACTGGGCCCACACACGTTATAAAAGAAGCAGAGGGGTGGAGAGATTGTGGTGGAGTGAAGAGTTTGTGTCTATCTGATAAGTATGTTATGTTGTCAGTCTCAACCCTCCTGCCAATATCCAACTCAGCTCAGGTTGTTTAATGTGAGAGTAAAAGTAAAATGGCATCGTAATAAGATACACTGAAAAAAAGGTTCAGAGTTGCCAAGTCGCCATAGTTATTAACTATTCAAAATATATCTTGAGCTCAATAGTGACTGCCAATATCCTGTTCCTCATTTATAGGCCTGTAATGATAATCAATAAATCAATTAATCGCACGGTAACTTTAACAAGCTCGATAACTTTTCCAGCTATGATCATTTCCATTTGCATGTTTGTTTGTTTGTTTTCCTCTTCTCTGTTGTTCTCTTTACTAAAGAGACTGAATGTCAAAAGGCTTCTATCGCTCTGTACAATGGATCTATTAAAATAACTGACACCTCTCGTTTCCTTAGCGTAATGACGCTTGATCAGCATAGACATTAGGCTATAGGAGGATTATTTGTTTGTCAACACAGTGGATGCTGTCAGAGCACCAAAACAGTACATTGCCGTATGACCAAACAAGACACGATGCCAAATCAACACTAGTGAGCATCTCAACAGCCCACATGAGTCAAATGCAGGTGAGCGAAACACAAATGATGGGAAGAAATCGCTCTATGGCTCTATCGTTTTGGGTTATCTTGCAGTTTCTGTGTTAAATGTTCTTTAGAAAGTAAAGTTTATTGATCTTTGAAAGTGTGTATTTGCATTTTTGTTCCATATAAGTTGAAAATGGTTTCAAAATGTCAATATTAACATTTATCACAATCATTTCTTGGTCAATTAATCACCCAGCAAAATCTGTTATCGTTACAGGCCGATGCATTCATTTTTCTCATAGACTTTCAGAAAAAAATTTATTTTAAAAGTTTGAAAGCTTGCTTGAGGATAATCAGATACATCGTAACTAATGACCATAAGACCTATACAATTATTTAAAATCTGTTTCTGAAACGTAAAATTATTAAAACACTTTGCAGAATCTTGCATTTTACACCGCCTTTTTGGATTTTGCAATTATATTTGTTACCCCGTAGCTGCTTAGCTTGGGCAATATCTTTGAAATCTGAAATGTCTATGGGAAAAATTAATTAACAATGTACTTGCAGAACTGGATCAAGCAGTCACTGTTAAGATCCATAGAGTGATAAAGGTTTATATTGTATTTGCTGTTTCTAAACTCTGCTACACGTTTCTAAGAACACAAAACTTCTCATGTTCAATTCCAAGTTTAATAGCTGGAAACTAAAACTCAAATCAGTGGCAGAAATATTAATACGTTCAATAAATTCAAGAGGCGATTCAAGGGTCATGAACTTTGTAAAGACCATCCAGACAATAACATGGGAAGTTTGAGAAAAAAAAAAATACAAATGACATCCTTGAGAACGTCATTGAGAGGAAACTGGTTGGAAAATAGATTCTTATGATTTCACAAGGTGCATGCTTTTGTATATTCTCTATTGAAAAAGCACGGAATTGTAAATAAATAAATAAGCCTGTGCACGTCATATACCCAATAGCACAGACAAATATGGACGAGCTCAGGTCTGATAGTGGTCATGGTTGTCTGAGCCTTCAAAACAGTCCAGTCCTCTGTGGGTGGTCTTATTAAAGTACAGGAGCATAGATGGAGTATTGAC